TCTGTCGCTCGCACACGAATTGTGAAGCACCCTCAGCTACACAGGTAGCTGACAGAATGGGACAAAAGAGAGGTACTGGGTGTCCGCCAGTGCACGACACACTGGATTGCTCGAGAGAGAGAGCTGCCCGCTCAGATGGGACCTGTTCCCACTTGAGCCAAAATGGCAACGGTCCTCCTCCTCCTCCTCCTCCTCCTCCTCCTCCTCCTCTGCCTCCTCCTCCTCCTCCTCCTCCTCCTCCTCCTCCTCCTCCTCACTCCCCCGCCGCCGGGGAGGCGGCGGGCTCCAGGGCTTCTGCGTTGGATCGCAATGCAGCGGCATCGGCCCGCGCGAGCGACCACTCGCACTCCACAGACCCAGCGAGGAATCTCGAACGCGGCACGTCGCGCAAGAGAGCAGATCCATGATCGGGCGGCTCAGCGCCATCGCCGACCACCAGGGTGGGGAAAGCCCCGTGAACAGGTGGCGCACGGCTGCGGCCGCGCCGTACCCCCCGTTGCGGCTGGAACGCGACGCCCGCGATCTGCGTACCTGCAGTGGAGTCGGGATCTGGGCTCGATTCCCGAGGAGGCACGGGCCCTCCAATGCTGTCGTCATCGTCCGTGGTTCCAACAATGGCTTAGCATACATTGAGGAATTGTGGTTCGGTCCAAATGGGTACGGGATCACAGATGTACGACCAATGATGGCAATGGAAACATGTTTTCTGCAAGCCATGAATATCGTTACGACTATATGATTCGTAACGATGGTTTTGCGACCGTTTTCCGCGATTTTTGGCGCGACTACCGAAATCCCGCAGATCACTTGACACGGCGCAGGGCGGCAGCACAGTTTGCGCCGGTTTGGCTTTGCCTTCTAGTCTGGAGGGCGCTATCCGACGACTGAAAAAAGAGCGATCCGACGTTCGGAAAAGGCGCGTTGGCGCTGGCACCTGGCGCGCGCGCGCGCACCGCCGCGCCAACAAAAAGAACCGAAGTCGCGCCGATCCGGGGACGGTCCAGGAACCTCCGGAGACCTCTGGGGGTCAGGATCTGGGGTGGAGACAGGAGGAGGAGCAGGGGGAGGAGGAGGAGGGGGGGGAGAGGACGAGGACGAGGACGAGGACGGAGGAGCTAGGAGGACTGCCGTAGCTTCCAGACAGCCGTTAATGGTGCCGAGAGAGCCCCAGAGGCGTCCAGAAGGCTTCGACCAAGCCCGAGGAGCACTCCCGAGGTGGCCTGAACACGCGAACATCACAGATTGGAGAGGCCTCACGGCCTGTGCCGCCGACCCCTGGAAGGGGGAGGAGGAGGAGGAGGACGGGGATGAGGAGGAGGAGAAGGAGGAGGGGGGATGGGGAACTTACCACCGCGCTCGCCACGAACGCCTCGACCACTTCAGTCAAGCAGGCTCTGACAGGGCGGCATGTCGTCATCCTCCTGCTCCTTCTGCGCCGAATGGCTCCTTCTCCTCCTGCTCCTCCGGGGCCCCAGGCGAGACCCCAGGGGGCCGAAATCGAGAAACTCCTGACGCGATCTGCTCGATCCTCCTCCCTCCCTCCCTCAAAAGTCACCCCCCGGACCTTTCCAAGAGTGCAATTTGGCCCCAAAATTTCCAGGGAGTCCAGCCGAGGAGACGAGATCATCCCCGGGGGCCTAAGAACGTCCAAAAATCTAGATCCTCGAACAAAGAACCTCCATACTTCTCCTCCCCCCTCCCCCCATCCCGGTCCCTGCTGCTGCTGCCCCTCCAACTCCTCCTCCTCCTCCTCCTCCTCCTCCTCCTCCTCCTTCTCCCGACGTCTCCCCCCTCCTCCTCCTGAAGCCGTCTGCACCCGCCCGGTCTGTACGTCGTACACGGCGACGTCCGGGGAGATGCCACTCGCGAGCAGGAAGTCGTCCTCGCTGCGAGGCCCGTCGTCGCAGGCTTCCGTCGGCTTTCGATCCTCGGAGCTGTCTTCGTAGGTTCTGCCTTTCGCGATTTCTGGGGCTCCGGGCTTGTCTCCCCTCGAAGTCCTGGTCGAAACACGCACAACAAATCTGGAGGTCAATTTTCTACCCCAGGAGGAGGAGGAGGAGGAGGAGGAGGAGGAGGAGGGGGAGGAGGAAGAGGGGGAACAGTAGGAGGAGGATGAGGAGGAGGAGGAGGAGGGGGAGGAGGAGGAGGAGGGGGAAAAGTAGGAGGAGGTGGAGGAGGACGAGGAGGGAGAGGAGGAGAAGGACGAGGAGGACGAGGAGGAGGAGGAGGAGGAGAGGACGAGGAGGAGGAGGAGGAGGAGGAGGAGGAGGAGGACGACGAGGAGGAGGAGGAGGAGGAGGAGGAGGAGGAGGAGGAGGAGGAGGAGCAGGAGCAGGAGCAGGAGGAGGAGGAGGATAGAGCGGAGGAGGAGGAGGAGGAGGAGGAGGAGGAAACAATGTTTGACGAGGATCGAGGACCACGGTTCGAGGATCGAAGTTCCTTGACGGCTCTGGCCCTCTTCGGGCCTGCAGTAGCCTCCGTGGACCCCCTCCGCGCGGGAGCAAGGCGAGGAGGGAGCGGAGGGGGAGGGAGGAGGAGGAGGAGGAGGGAGAGGAGGAGGGGGCGAAGGAGGAGGGGGGAGGAGGAGGACGAGGAGGAAGAGGAGGAGGAGGAGGAGGAGGAGGAGGCGGAGGAGGGGAGGAGGAGGAGGAGAAGGAGGAGGAGGAGGAGGAGGAGGAGGAGGAAGAGGAGAGGAGAGGAGGAGAGAGGAGAAGGAGAAGGAGACAGACGCTTCTGCTAAACATCGCGTGGCCGGGGGCCGCTCGCGTTGAAAGCGAGAGCGGCCAGAAGGGGGGGCGGGAGAGTGCACGGACAGGAGGGGGAGGGTGGAGGGAGAGGGGGGGGGGAGGGACAGGGGGGAGGGCGGGAGAGGGGGCGCGAGAGGAGGGGGAGGGAGAGGGACGAGAGGGAGGGAGGGGAGAGAGAGGAGGGGGAGGGAGAGGGAGGCGGGGGAGGGACAGGGAGGAGGGAGAGGGAGGGCGTCTTTTGGGGTGGGGGGGAAGAGGGGGCGGCGGGGGTGGGGGGAGGAGGAAAAGGAGGGCGGGATGAAGAACCACGAGGGAAGAAAAAAGGAGAAGGAGAACCCCGTATAATCACCAACGTGAAAACTGCCTAAATGCAACGCCGCCCCCCCCCCCCTCCTCCCCGGAGGTCTCTGGGGGTCTCCCAGGCCCCCGAAGCCTTCCTGATTCCCGGAGGTCGCCGGAGGCAAAATAATCCCACCAGCCCTTTGGGCGACAGGTGGTCTAACGATGTTCCTCTTCCCTCTTCCAACAAACCCTTCTTCCCCTTCGGGGAGGGGTTTACCCCTCCCCCTACCCCCCCCCTGGACCTGGACGGAGCGTTTCGCGAGCAGTTGGAGCGCCCAAGATGGCTCAAGATGGCTCCAAGAGGGCCTCCGATGCTCCAAGATGGCCTCCAAGATCGCTCAAGCTAGCCCCACATGGCTCAAGATAGTAACAACATGCCTCCAAGAAGCCCCAAGAGGGCCACAAGACGGGTCCAAGTGCTTTTGGAGACCCCCCAGGACCTCCCCGAGAAGCCCAAATCCTTCAAACACCAATAGAAAATCAATGATTTTTGCCTTCTCGCCTTTTCGCTTCCGATGCGCTTTTGAAGCCTCAATATGGCCCCAAGATGGCCCAAGAGAGCTCCAAGAGGGGCCCAAGAGGCCCCCAAGACGGCCCCAAGAGCGCCCAGGAGCGCCCCAAGAGGGCTCCAAGAGCGCCCCAAGAGGCGGTTTTGAGGGCCCCAGGGGGGGGGGCAAATCGAGTACCCCCCCTCCTTTGAGCGATCTCCTCCAAGATGGCCCCAAGAGGCGCCCAGGAAGCCCCAAGAGGCGCCAAGATTGCCCCAAGATGGCCCCAAGATGGCTCCAAGAGGCCTCCAAGAGGACCCCAAGAGGGCCCCAAGCGGCCCCAAGAGGCTCCCCCGAGGCACTCAAGACGCTTAAGAGCCCCCCAAGACGGCCAAGAGACCCCCCAGACGTCCCAACGGCCGCCCAGACGGCCCCAAGAGCCGTCCAAGAGGCTCCCGAAAGACCCCCAACAGGCCTCAAGAGGATCCTCGAGGCATCCAAGAAGCCCCCCCCAGCCGCTCCAAGAAGCCTCCACAACAATTCACTATTGTTGCCCGCGCTGCTTTATCATATGTCTCGTCCTCCCTCCCCCCGTCGGCTCTCATGGGCATCGCTTCTGGATGGGCTGGTGGGGATACGCGAAGCGTCAAGAATTGGGTCGAAGGGAAGCCCCTTCCCTTTGATCCCTCCCCCGCTGGGGGGGGGGGGGTCCCGGGGGGGGTAGCGGGGAGGGGTAGCGGGGGGGAGGTCCTGGGTCAGATACGACGCGGGGTCCCAGGGCCCAGAAAAGTTCCAAGACGGGCCAAGAGTGCCCCAAGAGGCCCCCAAGACGGTCCAAGAGGGCCCCGAATCGCCGAACGATCTGTCCAAGACGCCTTGACGGCCTCCAAACGACCCAAGAGGCCTGCAAGACGCCCCAAGAGGCCTACCAGGAGCACTCCCAAGAGGGCCCCAAGAGGCTAAATTCATTGACTTCCTATTGTTTGTTGAATGATTTTGGCGTTCTCGCCTCTTCCGCTTCCCGACGCTCCAAGACGGTCCAAGAGGCCCCCAAGATCGCCCCAATACGGCCTAAGAGGCCTCCAAGAGGATCCCAAAACGGCCCAAGGAGGCGCCAAGAGGCCCCAAGAGGCCCCCAAGAGGCCCCCAGGAAGCCCCAAGAGGTCCCGAAGAGGCTCCCAAGAGGCTCCCGAACTGCTCCCCAGAGGCCCCCGAGAACGCTCCGAAGAGACCCCAAGAAGCATCCCTGAGGACTCTGACCCACGTCAGCGTCGTCGTCGCCGCCGCCGCCGCCGCCGTCGTCGTGTTCCCCTTCAGGGTCGGCGGCACCGGCCGTAAGGCCTTCGCAACAATTACGGAGACTTTGCCCTGGCAGTACGTAAGCCGTGTTCCATATGTTATTCTGTCCTTCTTCCTCCCTTTCTCCCCCTCCACCCGAGAATGAAGGACGGGGGCCCGCCAGCACGGACCAATCCGCGTCGTACAGCTGGCGACTACAATGTCTCCAACGCGCCCTGAGGGTCGCCCGCGCGATCGTCCTGAGGTGCCGTTTGCTGCGGTGCACCGTCCTCCTTTTTTTTCAGCGCACTTTTGGAGGGGGAGAAGGAGCGGACACAGGAGAATGACACAATTGAAACATTGGGGGAGGGGAGAAGGGGAGGCGGAGGACGGAGGCGGAGGACGGAGGCGGAGGACGGAGGAGGGAGGGGAGGGGGACCGCCCTCGACGAGCGTCACTGCTGCACCACTGGCCCTCCGGCTGGCCTGCACCACAATTGAAACTTTGTAACAATTTTAATTTAAACTGGCAGTGCACGCGGTGCATGGCCGCCAGCCTTATGCCGCGACGCCCCCTCGCAACCCCTGCCAGCCGTGTCTGCCGCTCTGCAGCCGAGCTCGCTGGTTTCTGAAAGTGCTCTTGCAGGCTGACGTCGCCGAGTGCTCTGTGCAGTGCGAGTCGAGTCCGACTATGGACAAGATGTTGCTCTAGCAAAAGAATTATGTGGCGTCGCGCGGCCAATGCTGACACGCACGTGCATCATCTCACGCGCCTCCCCGCAGATGTGCTCGAGAGCCCCCCTCACAAAGGACACGGCAGCTTCCTCCACGTAGAGTGACAAGCCGAGCTGGGCGTTCCAGATCGACAAGACGTTGCAGACGAGCCTGCCCAGCCCTGTCTTGGTAAAGACCGTGGTCACGCTGCCACTCTCCAGGTCGGCCGCGCCGAGCTTGGCCGCCGCGAGCTCCTGCTCGATCGTGCTGGCCATGTGGCTGCCAAACATCTGCGGACTCCGGTCCGCGGAGGCGGCGATGGCCATCAGCACGTACCTCCGCTCAGAACGGGCCCCCGGGCCCCTCCCGGGGCTCCAGACGCACATTTTTTCACGCCGCGTCCAGCCGTGGCGACGGAGAGGGCGCCCGAGTGCCAGAACGCCTCGAGCCTCGATCCTCGAGGTTCGAACCTCGGTGCGAACCCTCCGCCGAGGTACGTGTTCCAATTGACCACGTCGCAGACCTTGATGCACCTCAGGTCGGCGATCGCGCCGAACAAGTTGGAACGAACGCCCGGCGTCTCGCCGAAGAAGAGCCCGGCGTCACCGGAGAGGTGCTCCGCCACCGCCTGGGCACCGCACTTCATCCCCTCGGGGAGCACACCGTTCAGGAAGACCTTTCGGAGGAGGGCCAGCCGAGGCAAGGGTCGCCGTTTCGGCCCCCGGGGGCCCCCTCGTCACCACGGCCAGACGCGGCTCGGAAAACTGGTGCACTTGGACTCCGGGAGGGGTCTGGGGACAGATTTTGAGCGGATTTGGGCCACCGTTGTCTCACCCACCTCGGCGGCGCGCCGAGGGGGGAAGTGAGAGGAGGCGGGCCGCCTTCTCAGAGGGCGGCGGGGCTTCTCGGAAGCCCTCCCGCCTTCCGAGAAGGCCTCTGTGGCTTCGTGGAAGGCTTAGAAGGCTCCTCACAGGGCGGGAGGGCCTTTGAGAAGCCCCGCCGCCCTCTGAGAAGGCCTGCCCCCTCTCACTTCACCCCTCGGCGCGCCGCCGATCACCGCCGTTGTCTCAACAGGCCCTCCTCCGGACCTTCCAGATCGTCCACGTCTTCGAGGGCGCGTCGAGCCAGGTGACAAACTCCGCGTGCCCCTTCCCGGATGCGGCCCACCGCTGCAGCGAGTCGAGCGGGGCCATGCCGCTCCTGGGGGCCCTGCGGGCACCGCCGGCGCCGCCGCTCGCCCTGGAGAAGTGGGTCCGGATCTCCAGGACGGGAGGCAGCTCCGCCAGGGCCTCTGCGGAGCGCTGCTCTTGCGGAAGCACCTCGGCCTCGACGGGGATCCAGCCAGCCCCGATGAACTTGTCGAACCCGCAGATCTTGAACCCTTCCGTGCAGGGCCTCATCTCGTACCGCAGGCCGCTCAGCAGTCCGTACAGCTCTGGTGGCATCGTCCCCGCCTGCGAAGCCAACTTATGGGCGTCGTTCTCCCTCATGGCACCGACCAAGCCGCTGGCATCCTTCGCGGCGAGGAACTTTTTTGGAGTGTCTTCGCGCCGCAGGTATGCCGGGAAATTTCGTTCGTAGAGCGCGCATTCATAAGACTGCTTCATCTCCGCCGCGAGGTCATCGACCTCCTGCGCGTTGGCCCGCACTGGCTGCACCCAGAGCTCGTCCTCCAGAAACACGCCGTTGGTCTCCAGCTTGGCAGCAATCACGGAGGCTTCCGCCCGCCCGACTGCCTGCAGCAACGCGGCGTGGCACCCGACGACGTAGGACGCGCTCGTCGCGGAGGCGCAGAGGATCTCTGGGACCGCCGCCAGGCAGCCATCGCCTGCGTCGCCGAGACCCTGGACCCCGACGGCCACCCACTCGGGGAGCGGCTCGGGGCCCGCACGCCGGAGCTTCAGCTCCAGACCGTTCGCGGGATTGCTGGCGAAGGGCAGCATCTTCATGGGGGACGACATCTGGAAGGCGTCCAACTTGCCGCGGATCCCCTTCAGTTCGATGACCCAGTGGATCAGGCCACCCTCGCGGCTCATCTGCGCTGACTGAATCAACAGGCCCCGATGTTCGCAGGCGTCCTCCAGGCGCCACATCGCATCGCTCAAGCATCCAGAGGGGCCCACGAGGCGCAGCTGCAGGTGGGCCACGCCACTCGGCGACGCGCAAATGCTGAGAGGGAGGTCGTCGAGGTAGAAGAACCGTTTGGCCCCGGGGCCCGACGCCAGCGCTGCGTCGTGCCCAGCGCTCAGGGAGCTGCAGCAGCCCATGACGACCGCCCCCCGAATCCTCGGCGGACACCCCGCCTTGTGCCACAAGGCGGAAACGAAGCGCAACGAGGCGGCACGGGCGGCAATGTGGCGAAACCTCGGTGGGCCCACTCGGCGCACGAGGCGGCCACGAGGCGGCACGGGCGGTAACTTGGCGAATCCTCGGCGGGCCCCTCAAAATCTTTATGAAGCAACAGATTAACCCCCTAAGTGCAAGCACTGTTTGGAGAAGAAGACAGCAGGGACATGGACGGCGAGGGGGGAACAATGGCAACGACGAGGCGACGGAGGCCGAGGAGCGAAAGGAAGAGGAGGATCCGTATCAGATGCGACGAAGTCCGGCGGCCACGAAAGCTTGCCGACAAACGATATCGCTGCAAACCCTGCTGCGCTCGAAAACGAAAAACGACCCCAGAATGCCAGTACGAGACGCCGTATGATAGACGCGCGCAAAATAAAAAAATATACAACTTTTGGGCAACGAGCGGGCGGACACAACGGCTTGAATAACGCGCCAGGATCGTAACTCCCAGCGCATTCAGAGTGACCATGTGGCTGCCTCACTATGTCGCTGTAAAGGCCGAGATGGCCAAACAACAATACACAGTGCCCTTTGGGCCAAACTCGTGCGTCATGCTCGTGAGCCCCGCAAACACTTTGTATTGATTTTTGACAGGGACGGCGGGGGTGCCAGCATATCGCCTGCTGTGCGCAGGGCCACCATCCCTGTCAAAAGCAATACAACATGCACCTCGCGGCTAAATCTGGATCATGTGCGGCCACCCCGCGATCACTTCCAAATGGTTTTCGACAAGGACGGCGAGGGTGCTGGCATGTGGCCTGCTGTGTGCAGGCCCACCAGACACCATGATGGGCACCCCGCCGCGATTGAGCCCTGGTGTTCGACAAGGATGGTGGGGGGCCGACATGTTCTCCGATGTGTGCTGTCACGATGGCACGCGTGGCGCACCTCGCCCCAGCGTCGCGCACATGGGGTCGGTTTTGGTTCCCAGTGTCTGCCCATCCAAAGACGGCCGCTGAGCATGCTGAGGCTCGGGTGCTACTTATGTGTTGGGAGGGCGGGTGGGAGTGAGCGAGACGGCTTGCGGGCGGGGAGGAAATCTCGATCACTGTTCCCTATTAGTATACACCCCCTCCCCCACCCGGCCGGCAACCAACCCGGGACCATGAGAACCCCATGCCGACCCCCCCCCGCCATCCCCGTCAAAAAACAATACAAAATGCACATTGCCGGGCCCGCCCTGCCAACACCACCCACAATCCCTGTCAAAAACGATACGAAGAGCACATTGCAGCCAATTCTGGGCCGTGCGCTGGCGACCTGTGAGCGCGTTCTATTGTTTTTTTGACAAGGATGGCGAGGCACCCTTACTGAAGCCACTTTGTGCAGGATTGCCATTCGTGTCAAAAACAAATACAGAAAGCACGTTGCGATACCGTCGCGGGTATTGGTCTGGCCACCCGCGATCCTCTGCAATCGTTGTTTTTGTCAAGGGCGGCGGTGGTGCCCAGATAATGCTGCTTGCTGTGCGCAAGCCCGGGACAATGCAGACCCCCCCCCCCCCCGCGCACATCAGCAGCTCGACCATGCGGACGGCGGGGGCACCACGTTGCTTTTGACGAGGACGGCAAACCAGGCGCAGGTGAGCTCGCGGCGAGCCTGGCGAATCTGGCGTCCGCTGCGGTTCCATGCGGTTGCCCATCCTATGGCGACCACAGGCTATGCCGAAACTCGGGTGCCACTTATGTGGTGGGAGGGCGGGTGGGAGTGAGCTAGACGGCTTGTGATTGTGATTGACTTTTCCTCTAAAGGCGAGGGCAGTCGCAATAATGCCAAAGGCTTCAAGGGCGCCCTGGAGCCGATATGGCCGTGAGTGGCGCAAACATGTTATGCAAGCACACTCACTCACACCCGTGAAACTTTATCACGAACTAGGCCATGCGCGTCGACTCCAGGCGCATTAAATATGGAGTTATCCCAACTGATGGGATATAATATGCATGACAGCCCCAAACGGGCTCAACAACCCCAGACGGGTTGGATATGGATGAGACCCAGGCGGTCTCCACATGAAGGCGGCCCAAACGGCCTCATTGTGTCGATGCCTGATCCCTCGATGGGGTAGCAGCGTTCTTGGCTCTCGCGATCTGTTTCTTTATTTTCTTCATCGTTGACCCCGGATCGGGAGATAAATCATATTTACTCGTCTGAAGTATATGTACCAGAAATTCCGCATGCATGCTTTTCGTCAGACAATCAACCGCCATTATACTTGTATATATCCATCTGATTTTATCTCCAAATTTGCTCGGGTGAAGTATTTCTTGCTCGTCCTTTTCAATTGTCCATTTATCCTGACGTAAACTACTCAAGTCGATACTTAAACGTTTGTCCTATACCTCTCCAAGCGTAGATGCCGTCAAGTGTTCTTCCAAACTCTTCCAATCAGTAAGCCATGAATGTCTCATACACAAACACTCTTCTCATCCCAGTCGGGATGGAGTTTATTGCCATCTCCAAGGAGACCGCGCGCGTCAGCAATAGCAGTGCGTATCCGTACTCCTGATTCTACACCCCACAAGCAAGCCAACGTTTCCGCTTGTAACGTAGATTTACACACACGTTTGATAACTTTGCTAGATGCACATATTGGGTGTACGTAATCTTTATAACCGTCTACAAGTCCTAGCCAAGCAAGGCCATTAAAACTCGCTTTCCGGGGCCTGAGAGACTCCAAATTCCCTTGGACGATATCCTGCTCTCCAGACCAACTTGCATCCGTAATCGTAAGCACTATCATGTCATTGTCCCATTTCACGGCGCCACCTTTAAATACAAGTCCTGTACCGGATGTCTGGACAACGTCTTCTAAAAGTCTATTTGCTTCATTTAAATGTAATACCTTAACATGACTCACTACTGTCTGCAGTCTACTCACCCGGTAGAGTAATTCTGGTTTGCATTGGCGCGAAACCCAATATAAAGCACCAACAACTGAGCTCAACTGAGCTGTTTCGCCTTCGTTGCATTTCCTAGTCAGAGGACTATCCCTTGCATAGGATATAGCCTCGATCTGTTCCACATTATCCTTCGCTGTAATATTTATAATGAAATCATCGCCTTGATCGGTTTCCAGTCCACACTAACGAAAGTTTCCAGATTTTGTTTCCTTGATACCTAATTCACCGAATACACAATCTATGACTTTCTGTGATTCATCGTCGGCAGCCCATATTAAATCATCTACATGGGTACCAAACAAACATACGATCTCATTGCTATCATTCGATATACTGAAAAATGCGGCCATGGTTTTATTTTCACGTAAACCATGTGCCTTGAAACGTGCACGCGTTTTCTTCCATAAGCCTCCACCCGCGTCACGGGGTCCATAAACAGGCATGCGTGCTATCAGAGCACTATCACATGGTACTCCCTCGAGTCCATCTGGCGGCGGCTTGAGAAGCATCAGTCGATCTAGCCCCTAACCCTGGAAGTAGGCTGACGTAATGTCGGCACACCTCAAAGTCTTCTTGGTGCCCGCGGCCCAAGATACGATGAGCCTTAACCCTTCCAACTCGCACGTCGGAAAGTCTGTTCGCATGCCCAACTGCTCCTCTAAGTCACCCCTAACTACAAGCCTTCTTTTGTAGAGCGGGTCCACTGATGGCCCGTTTTCTGTACGGAGATGTTCTGTCTTATCGATTTCAATCCATTGCGTTGGAACCATGTTGTATCATTATTTCAATAGTTCTTGTAACTGTTCAGATCCAACTGGTATTGCAGCGTTGAATTGTCTCCATGTTCCCCATGCAACTTGTCTCGCTAGACGTAATCCACTTTTAACTTGTTCTGATTCTCGATGATAGATAATATTCTTGGCGCTCATCAATTTCTTTCTGGATTGACCCTTGGTGGTCATCCGTTCATTGAAGAAGCTAGAAAGTGATATATTCGCGGATCGCATTTGTAGTACGTCTACACCAGCACCTGTCGTACCTGACCTATTCCATGCTTCGAGCAGCGGGCTCGCTGGCTCGGGAGCGGGCTCTGACGTGGAGTCTACCCTCCTGCGCATCACTTCCTCGCGTGCGCGTATGTCGTGAAGTACATCATTTACTAAACTCCTATGAAGCGGTGTGTGCTGTGGTGCAACTACAGGCGCAATGGCCAAATCATCTGCCATTAAATCATCATCTGTACCGTCATCTATCGGATATCCATGCTGTCCGTCCACTTGTTCGATTACTTGTTCTTGACGCTCGGGCAGCGGAACTTCTGTCACAGTCTCGGGTCTGGCACTTGATGCAGATCCCGGTTCGTTGATCCCTCGACGTTCATCAACGAATGACTGTTGCTCTCCTTCTGGAGGCGCACATCTTCCAATTACACCGTCGCGATGCTTGGGGAGATACTCATGCGCTAGAGCCTCTGCTGCCGTACACGGACGAAGTCTATCTGTAGCAACGCATACAGGTACTCCTTCTGTAATTACCCACGCGTTTTTTCCATCAAATCCTACAATCCTCGATCCTGTACTCCATTTGGCACTAACGCCGCCCTCTGTCGGGCGTTTCCTGCAACAAACTATATCACCCACGGAGTATGGTCCAGCAACAGGCGCGGCTTTGCGTAAAGCGGCTCGCGCTGTCCTGCTCCCAACGTCGTGTTCCGCGAAGGTGTTGCGGGCTGCAGCTCTGATTGCGGCTTGCCTAGCAAACTCATCTGATCCATCTTCAGGAACATTAGCCAGAACGCCAATGTCAAAAGCTTCCTCGTCATCAAACTGACTCCCTGGGACACGTGGCGACCTACCTAATACCCATTATGATGGCGAGAAACCTCCAATTCGTGACATCTCATTTTTAGTATTGTCTACTTCGCTCGCAGTCGACCGTACCTCTGTTTCACAGATTATATTCTTATCATGTACAACTTTCTGGAAGATCTTTTTCCATAATCCACCATGTCGTTCTGTTATGCCTATCTGTTCCGGGGACTCGATTCCTGCATCTCTGAGATCGATCCCGTTGTGTTTAACCCACATGAGGAATACTCCTTTGTTATGCAGACCTCTATCCAGAACAATACGTTTCGGAACACCAGCCCAATC